GGACTAGGTGCGTTCCTCTAAGTCTTCCTACCAATATGACCGAGTTGCGAAAACAAGGTCAAGCAACTTCAATACAAATTAAGGTTTCATCGAACTGTGGACAAGTTTCAAAACGGAGTTAAGGCAGGTGAACCACATGATGATTTTTCAATATAAAGATAAGGCTATTAAAAGGCAAAATGTTGTCAAGGCATACTATTTTCAATGAGATTATTATTGAACTAATTAACGGTCTGTCTAAGAGTAATTGAAGATAAAGCTGGCTTTTTGCAATCGGTTTTAGTTTGATGCTGAGTTACTTTTCATTTCGCTTAAAAAGGCAGATGGAAAAGATTAGTAGATTGGCAACATTCAACACCAAAGAAGGATTTGTGACTGTTGGATTGTGTGAAGAAGGCCTCTGCTCCGACCCATCCATGCTTAACTTTCGTCCGTCATGTGATCGACATAGTTTAAGCCAGAAAACTTAATTTACGGAAAATCATCAAAAAGACTAAACCAAGAAAGGTGACCGATGTTATACCCAACTTTGCGATTATAATGCAGCACCTTATGATTCGGTTCGCCACTTCATACCTATTCTACATTCATGTGGACGAGTGAAGTTGATGCATTTAACGAGAACCGATGTGGTGGTCACAGTTGCTTCGCTGCGTAAATAAATTAACGTATGACCCTGCAATGCTGACGAGTGATTTAGGTTTGTGAATGCAATATTTATGAGGCATTTGAAAAATTATAACCCAAATTAGTCTCCAGATTAGTAGAGTCTTCTCTACTTATTCGGTGGTCCTTCCTGTTCTATCCAGAAGCCAGGGAAGTTCTTGTTTAATTTTCTATACTAGTTCCTCCAATTAAGGATGCTGTTTCTTTTATTTTTGCTTCTTGCTTAGCAATAACATCTCCATATACTGCCCAACTTCCTCTTGTAGACCACTCTATCGGGTGTCCTGTAGTGACCATATATTCAACCACCTCCGTATTTCGACCCATAAACCTCTGAGGGCGGTTTTGTGTGCTGCTAACCCAGCTTCTCTTCATGCCTGAATGCCATCTTTCCATGCGTAGCAAAGGACCATTCTCATTCAGGCTCGGCTGCCGTTTCTACCTCGTTTAGGTTTCACTAGCGCCCTCAGCCAGATTGGAACCTAGGCAGACACTGTATCGCTCAAGCTACAGTTATATGGCAGGCATGGCTGTCAAGACGAAGGAGGACTCTCTCGGTTCACATTATTTTGTGGAGGGTTTCTCACCGATGCTCTACTAAATTATGGGTTAATAACGGGAAAAGCTGGGTTACAGACAAGATTGATAGGGCACTCTTTGTTAAAAGCGGCTTTTGAGATGCACAGACCATAGTAATTTATCGAAATTAAATTAATATAAAAGTCTTTACTGAACTCCATTTATGCGAGATTCATTCACCCTATTACGTTTAAGGTGATAAATGAGTAATATATGAATTTTTCCACAATGAGTAGAGCAGACGTTTTCATTAAATTTCACATAGCCTCGCTTTCCTAAAAGGTGAAAGGTGTATCCTGGATTCTAGTAGCTTTTGAGAAAGCAAGGCTACGTGAAATTCACTGGAAAAGTCAGCTCTATTCATAGAATTGTGGGAATATTCAACTGCCAGTCCTTTATCAAATGAAACAGAATAGGATGAATACATCTCTTATAACTGATTTACTGATAGTCGCGAAACCCTACTTATAATGAAATAATAAGCTCCATTTCTTCATATTTTCCTCATAAAGGGCAATGAAAAGCCCTTGATTCATTGAAGCAATTTCTAAATACTTACATGCACAGTTGTTTAGCCATCCCTATCTAGCTGGAACTTGCACATGTAATTTGGCTTGCCTCGCGCCATCTCCTCTGCTTATCTCTAGTCTCGAAGACAAACGGGCCAATCCTCTGACGCCAATCAGAAGCCTTCCACCATACCATATTTCTCGACCACATCTTTACCCCCAACCCGGCCACCTTTGTCTTGCTCCCCTCGGTCAATTGTCCAAAGAGATGGACACCAGGAGGCCTACGCTGCCGTGACATCCGCTTCTGAAGCTTTACTGCTTCCTCCGAAAGAACGCCCCCACAGCAGCTCACTATTCAGCTCCAGACTCTCCTATGAACTCCGGTGAACACCAACTATCCCACTCTGTAGGCACTTGCTTGTGCCTCCCATGTTCTGTAAAGTTTTCTTACCCCTCCCTCCGTCTTATCTTATCCGGTCTTCGATCGTCTTCTTTGATCGCGCTTGGTACAGAGGATAAGCGTTACTTTGTTTGTTATTGAGTTTGTCGCAACAGATAGTATGGCCGAAACTAGACTTTATAGACCATTAGGAGTCAGATAAGAAAATACTCAATATGCAAACATTGTATCAGAGTAATTAGGTTAAATTTATTAAAATCATTCGGGCAACGTCATAAAAATTTA